TTTAGGATAGTTAGGGCGGTTCCTTGATTTGAATGGCGTAAGCCAGCGGACGTTTTTACTAGTTTTCCTGCTCATAATTTGACTAAGATCGACATGTGACTGGGACAAATTGGTAACTAACACACCCACCCACACACACCCACACCAAACACACACCCCACCACACACACACAACACACCCACACACACACACACACACACACACACACCACACTACACACGAGCACTTGCAAAGAATAACAGAAAGCTACACATCACTGTACACTTTCCCTCTTTCAGAATTGCTTCGAGAGTGAGAGGTGCCACCTGACACCTGCATCTTGACGCCCTGGAGCTTGTAGTAACATTTCTCGGAGGCGTTGTTGTTGTTGCTACTATTACTACTACGCTACTACTACTATTACTACTACTACTATTGCTCCTACGACTACTACTACAACTTCTACTACTACTACTACTATTGCTACTATTATTACTACTACTATAACTACTACTACTACTGCTACTACTACCACTACTACTATTACTACTACCAAGACACTGATCTCGCTGCATGGACGTGCCTGGTGAGGGGCACTGAGGATGATGACTGCACTAAGTCGAAATTCATAATACGTTGAAGAATAAAAGCCACAATACCTTATCCTGAACAATTCACAATTAACCAACAAATTGAAGATAAATCTCCAGACGACAGATCGATAATGGTTTGTTCTTGACCATTATTAAATCAAGGCATTAAAAGTAATCTGAAACGGACGGGATCTCTGTCTAAATATTTGCTTCCAACTCGTGGGGTCGAGGAAATTACGTCTTCACTTCATATTTTAACGCCTTAGTGAAGCTTACAGTATTTTTTTTATGCCGTATTGACTCTCTCTCTCTCTCTCTACACGTGGTCCAGACAAACTTTTGTATTTGTCATGATTATGAATCCGTGGTAACTTAGGCAACTTTAGATGAGTGCACAAGCTCGCCATTTTCATCGTCTTTAGTGAACTCTGGTGTAGCAATCAAGATACCAAAACGCCTTACAAAGGGAACCAAAATTAAACGTTTCGATATCTGATAAGTGAAGTTCATACGTATCACTTCTGATGTGGACGCGTTCGGACAACAATACCTAGACGAGATACATTTGCACCCTGGGAAGACGAACACAAAATTTCAACGTCATCACGCCTGGTAAACACGACTACACGACTATGTTGTGACATTTTCCGAACGTAAATCCGCCAGTCATTGCGAGTCAGCAAAGTTTCCGCAATATAAGAATGTGATCAAAAATGAGAGGGATGGAAAATGACAATTCCGAATAGTTATACTTTCTAGTCGAAAGACACTGTGTGCTGAGTAAATATTTATATACTAGGTTTCGCTCTAAACAGCTTTATAAGAGTTTGATAAAGTTCTATTTAGGATCGAAAAGTAATCTATTAATAAAGGTTTTTATCTACATATAATTTTTTCTACCATAGTTGTCAGCAAGTCTTGCCTCACAGTGAATACTTTCTGACCATTATAGAGGGACAAACGTTTTCACAGGGTATGGGATCGAAAACGTTTAGGACACATGGAATACAACCCTCCTCCCCCAGGCTGAATGTAGAAATATGGACCTCCAGTACATCAGATTCTGGATTTCCAGTGGGCCGACTGCTGAAAATATGAGAGCTTCCGGTAAACATTCCAAAGTTCATAATATGATGCTTGTTTTGTTAAAGAATCAGACTGACCAGCGAGTGTCAGAAGCATTCATTGCCGCTCAGTTACAACATCTACCGAGTTTTATACATTTTCTGACATTAGTTTGAATTCACGATGCAGTTCACGTTACTGGAAATCTTAAAACAAAATACTAGCAACAAAATATCACAGTGAAAAGTAAACACAAACAGATGAGAGATACACTTAATATAAGGCGGGTCCTAATGCCGTATTTACCATTTCCACACGATCCACAACTAATGCTGTTATTCCTGTCCCTGGCCTCTAAATGACCCAGGAGCTGTAGCTTAACCCTGATAAGCCACACTAGGTGAGTATTTAAGACAGTGTTTGGGTTGTATTGCACACAGTTTCTCCAAATTTCTTCACAATATTGTTGATCGTGACCCTACCATGTCGTTGGAGTTGTTATATTCCATCAGACTTGTCTCAGTAATGTCTTAAAACAATTTCCAAATATATATATATATATATATATATATAT